TATACATCTCCCACTGGTTCTGTGTCCCTGGAGAACCGTCACTAATACAGGCATCAATCGTTTATTGTTTTGTATTTTGTGGTCAGTATGCATGCATTTTAAAGTGTTTTTTAATCTTTTAAGTTTATTTTGAGAGAGAGAGACCATGCACATGCGTGAGTAGGGGAGGGGCAGAGAACGAGACAGAGAGAACCCCAACCAGGCTCCATGATATTAGCGCGGAGCCCAATCCAGGCCTGAACTCATGAGCCATGAGATCACGACCTGAGCCAAAATCAAAAGTCAGATGCTTAACCGACTCAGCCACCCCACCCACCTCCGGCACCTCCAGCATTTTAATTTTCCTGTACCTGAACCTGTCGATATTTGCATTGGTTCATTGGAAATTCCTTTTACTGCTTCTATTTCTCTCCAAATCCTTTTCTTCCCAAGTGGATATGTATAGTCTTGTTTTCTTTCAGAGATACATACACATGTATATGACACTAAACTTAACTCAAAAATTATTTCTTTTGCTTGAAATAAATTAGCACTCGAAACCTTAGACTCTAAGGTTATTTTCCTGTATTGTCGGTCACTTTCCCCCAAAACACACCTTGAATAAGTTTATATTCCATTGTTCATAATAGATTAAATATATATTGATTTGAAGAATCTCTATGTATCTCCCAGCCCTAATTTTTGGTTAGTTCACTTTGATAAATACTGTTTCCTAAAAAGGCATTTTAATATATGGTACAGCCATATAGTATTACAGAAGTATTTGCCCCCACCTGTTTTAGTGATTTTGTCAATCTCAACCAAGTAACCCATTGGAATCATAAATGATGTTGCTTAAATCTATACATTAACTTGAATGTTGTTTTAATCTTCAGCTTTCTGGTCAGCACGAGAGTATAACTCTTTCCATTTTTCACCAAAAATCGTAGGGTTACAGACTTAAAGGAGTTCAGATTTCATTCAATTTCTAGTTCTAGACCACCCCTCCCTACACTTACGCCATTTTACATAAGTGTAAAATGATGATCAGACCAAGGCCCCCAAAACCTGTATCTGGTTAGGGAACAGCGGAAAACAAGACCCAGGGCCTATCTCATTCTGCTTTCCTATCACACCATTGATTCAAGTCTCCATTTACTCCCTTTAATGCTTTAAAATGCTTGCAAATGTCAGTTAGATACATCCCAGTTGGTTCATTTCTAGGACTTTTCTAAGATTGCCATAGGAAAAAGAAAGGCATTGTTACTGAGTTTTACTCAAGGGGGAGAAAATGCACACAGCTTATTCCATTTCTTCATCCTTAAATGGGTTTTTGTTTTTGTTTTTATTTTTGCTGTTGCTGCTGTTGTTGTTTTGTAGGAGAAAGCAAACTGACTTCTGAGCTGATCTTCCATTTTCCAGGCCCCTCTATCTTTTTAAGGGTTTTATTATGAACAATAGTTTCTTGTGTACTGCAGTCTGCAGGGAAGTGTGTTAGATACACAAAGAGATAAAGTTACAGATCTTGTCTTTCCAAGTGAGTCTCACAATCAAATTCAGAAGGCCAGATACAGGGTGTATCAGTTGCATAGAATGGAAAATCCAAGTAACAGTGCTTTAAAGAAAAGATGGACTTGTCTCTCCATGTAATGAGAAATCTGAAGATAGGCGATCCATTCCATTGGTTACATGGGGTCATCAGACCCAGGCCAACTTCTTGACTTCTACTTTGATATCAGGGTGTGGGACTCATGATCATTTATATCAGAAGATTGCTAGTGCTCTAGCCATCATCCACTAATTTCAGAAAGACAAGGAGAGAAAGAAAAGGAAGAGCAAAAATCCAGTGCTAACCAAGTCAGATCTTTAACTGGTTTCCCCGGAAGCCTTCCCGATGTCTGCTTTTGTCATTGCACAGAACTGCATCAAATGAACACCACTAGTAACAAAGGAACCGGTGAATGAAACATTCTAGCTAGGCACATTGCTGCCCTCAATAAAATCAAAGATCTTTCTGTAAATAGAGGAGAATGGATATCGGGCAGGCAGCTTGTAGTCTCTACCATTCAGTGTATGAGGTAAAATGTTATCTAGTGTTTTCTTTAGACCAGGGTTTTCCGTTTGGCTAATGAAAGATTACTGCACGGTCTTCATGGTTAAGTTGGACTTAGACAAATGGTCGAGGACAGAGGGGGCATTTCAAAACACGAGAAAGGGCCTGAGCAAAGAGTTCTCATAGCAGGTGTATGGGAGAATGGCAGTAGGGAGGGAGGGACTCCCTCCATGTTTTTGGAATGTCTTTTCAAAGCGAGAGTGTGGGGTGCACGGAAATGCAGGGTGAATTGGTTAGCAACTCTGCTTACCCAGCAGTGTTCTCATGACGTCTTCATAACAGTAACTAACATGTATTAAAACCAGCTATACCCCACAGGATTTCTTTTTTTTTTTTTATTTTTTAATGTTTTTTATTTATTTTTTAGAGAGAGAAACAGCATGAGCAGGGGAGGGTCAGAGAGAGACAGATACAGAATCCGAAGACAGGTTCCAGGCTCTGAGCTAGCTGTCAGCACAGAGCCTGATGCGAGGCTCGAACCCACTGTGAGATCATGACCTGAGCCGAAGTCGGACGCTTAACCGACTGAGCCACCCAGGCGCCCCTAGATTTCTAAGTGTTTCAATATACATTGTCTCTAATCCTTGCAGTATCCCCAGTTTAGGGATAAGGAAACTGAATATTTGACCAAGGTCATGCATCTCAGGAATGTAAGACACCTCAACTGGGTCTTAGGCCAGTTCACAATGTTAAATTTATTTCTTGGGAATAAATGCATTTATTGGGATGGGATGGTGAAGATGGGCTGGTTGCCCTTTTGCTATTTCTTGAATAGTTTCTAAAATCTAAACTTTAGGGGGACTTTACAAACTCTTCAATTTACTAGCAGTGTGACCATGGACAAGCTACTTAATCTCCCTGAATCTGAATCAAATATGAAACCAGTCAGACATTACAAGAAAAGAATACTACAGACTGCTATCCTTCACGAACACGGATGCAAAACTCTAAACAAATTGTTAATAAAATTACATAAATAAAAGTTTTAAAAATACAAACTATAGTTTCTGATCCAGCATATATATGTGTGTATAGAGATCTGTATCTGTAACTTTATAAATCCTGGATTCATTCTTTTATTTATTTACTGTAATTTTGAAAGATCTACCTAGGAGGTTCCCACCAGTGAACTAAGCACCATGCAGTGTTGAAGGAGAATGTGTAAGGCTGAGACCTACAGTATTGGGCTAGGGAAGTTAAAGAACAAGAAAAAAGGCTTCAAATGCATTTTGAAAGCTAACAATTGGCTTGTTAGTTTCGCCACCACTTCTGAGTTGAAATTGTGCAGTAAGAACTCAAAAAGCTGCACAGGGTTATTGGAAGCTCATTTATCAAAATTCAAAAGAGAGGGAGGGGGGATGGCAGGAGAAATCTCAGAGCACACAGAAAGCTGATGCATTTTGAGTAAATGAGCATACACTAAACAGTACATCCAAGCAGAGTGGCGCAGCAGAAGCGTGCTGGGCCCATAAACAGTATATCCAAGCTCTGCGGGTACTGACTGGAGGAAGGGAGGTGCTTGGTGCTGAATGTACCCCCCAGATGATACTTTGTATAGTACCTTTCACATGGAAAGTATAAGAATTAGGAAATTTTGACATTGGAAGGTGTGTGTGTGTGCGCACGTATCTATCTATATTACCTATATCTATATCTATCAAGAAAATCTCAGGAACATCCTTCTGACTTTTCTTGTCTCCCACTTGGTGACACCTGGCTTTGGGAAGCCACACTTCTGATCCTGATTCCTACATACTGGTTGGTTGTATGATGTTGATAAACCACTAGCCACACTGGCCCCATTTTCCCCATGAACAACCAACGTAAGGCAAGTGGCCAGATGATCTTGGAAGCACCTTCTAGCTCTAAACTTAGGCATGGCCTAAAGCGAGTGATCTCTGCCACTTGGATCCCAAGCACACAGCATATACTCAAAGTAATCACATTATTTTAATACAAATTGTATATATACAATCTTATAAGCTGACATACAAAACACTGGGAAAATTACATCATTGGAATTATCCAAAAGGAGGTTGGTCACTTTAACATTGCAGTGCTGTGACATCTTCGATAACATTATTTACCCAAGAGAAAAGAAAGCCACAAAGGTTTGTACAGGAATGTTCCTAGCATCTTTATTTCTAATACGGAAAAATTCAAAACAAGATACATATCTACCAGTAGGTGACAAGGTAGGTACATTGTGTAATATCCACAATTGGTATACTACTCAGCACGAACAAGGATTCCATTTATATGCAACTCAGGAAAATGCAAAATAATCTATAGTTCCACAATATATACAATTCTAGAAAATGCAAAGTAAAACAGATCAGTGTTTGGAGGGGGACGTGGTGGGGCGGGTGGTGTTGGGAAGTGGAGTGGGGAAAGGTGGTGGAGGGCAGCGCCAGGGGAGAAGCAGGAAGGGGAAGGAGCCCAGAGAGGTGAGTGCGCACGCTGGAGCAAGCAGGAGGGTCGAGCGGTGCGAAGGGGATGGGACCAGGGAGGGCCCAGGGGAGGCCGGTAAGGGCAGCAGCAGGAAAGGGGTAGAAGGAGGGACTTAGGAGGAGGAGGAGCAGGGTGGGGGCGGGTCTTGGAAGGGTGGAGGCAGGGGGAGGTGGGGCGCGCGAGGGAGGAGGCGGGGCCAGCGAGGGAGGAGGTGGGGCCAGCGAGAGAGGAGGTGGGATGCGCGAGGGAGGAGGCGCGGCGTGCTAGAGAGAAGGCGGGGCCAGCGAGGGAGGAGGCGGGGCGTGCTAGGGAGAAGGCGGGGCCAGCGAGGGAGGAGGCGGGGCCAGCGAGAGAGGAGGTGGGACGCGCGAGGGAGGAGGCGGGGCGTGCTAGAGAGAAGGCGGGGCCAGCGAGGGAGGAGGCGGGGCGTGCTAGGGAGAAGGCGGGGCGCGCGGGAACTGCTTGAGTCTGTGCGGTCAGGCCCTGCACCCGGCGTCATTGCGCGCCTGCTCCGGGCGTTCGCGGGCCTGCCCTTCCGAGAAGTGTCCCCGCGGACCATAGGGGGCCGAGCTGACAGCCGCGGCGCCGGCACCGGGCCGGGTCACGCAAACGCAGGTAGGACGCGGGCCGTGACTCTTCCTTCTCGAGAAACTTGTTGGGTGCTCCCGTCTGCTGTCTAAGACAGTGGGTTGTATATTTGGTCGGACGTGGGTGGGTGTCACTGAAATGTTCCTTCGTGAAATGTCGGGCTCAGGAGCCCCTGACGCTTGTCCCCGGACTCCAGCCTAACAATCGCGGTGGTTGGGTCAGCGACCTGACCCCGTGCGCTCCCTCCTGCAACGACGGCCGGTGATCTGTCACACTGTCCCCCTCTTAAATTCGGCATGCTTCTTTTCCCAGGTCAGCAAGCAGTTCAGACTTTGGATTCCTGCGGATTCACTTCCTGCCCTGCTTTATTACTATGTGCATGCCCCTGACCTGGGGAGACGTGTGGGCTAATAACTCGTTCCCCTTTAGACTGATAATCATTGATCGTCAATGGCTGTGAGACAGACCGGTGAAAAGTGTGTGTGTGTGTGTGTGTGTGTGTGTGTGTGTGTGTGTGATGTGTCTGTGTTTCTTTAAAATGTCTTTGGCTCCTCTGTTGGATTGGAGCACATTTGCATTTCATCGTTTAGTATGAAGATAACATATTATATGTCCATTGAAGAAATGTCAAGGTACCTGTCGCCTCTGAAATGTGCCAATCACTTGGAATTCTTTTTATCCCCATAAGTTTTCAAAACACAGTTTTAAACAAAGAAAAGCACAGGCAATGTGGAGCAGTCGCTGATCAGGCATGACTTCCAGTCATGGCCTTCAGCACCCCCTGGTGGCTTGGTCAGTCAGTCTGATGACACTGTTGCCTACCTACTGTGTGTCAAGCCTTGGCTTCCTGAGAACCACGGGTGACCGCAGCATCACACTTGTGGGCCGGAGCTCTGCTCTTAACCTTTTATAGGATAGTGGTTTCAGTGGAAACTTGTCTTTTAGGTTTGTACTGGTGTTGTCAGAAATAGCCGCAATGACTTGCCTTGGGATCTAAAGTCTTCAGCAACATTTAAAATTTGGCCAGACACCAATGCATAACAGAAGCTTTATAACTTCTCAGGCACCCCCTCCTGGGAACTTATTCTGAGGAAATAATTCAAAAGAACAGAGCTACATGTACAAAGATGCTTTTAACAGCACTAGTCTTCAGAACCAGAAGCTGGCTGTAAACCAAATGTCCATCAATTAAGGAATGCTTAAGTAAACCAGAAAAGTTCAATTCAAAAACGCTATTAGGTACCCATTAAAAATTATAGTCAGGTAATAGTTTGGTGTTGACAGTGCCACTTACTGGTTCCCTGTCCTTGGATATGTTCTGAACTTGGTAAGCTTAGACCTGTGTTTTTCATCTATAAAATAAGGGTTCAAGATCAAAGCATCAGCATCAGGGTTGGTTTCTCTGGAGGCTTCTCTCTTTGGCTTGCAGATGGCGTTTTCTCTGTGCTCACACAGCCCTGGAGTCTCTTCCTCCTCCTGTGAGGATACTGGTCAGATGGGGCCTCATTTTAACATAATCACCTCCTTAAAGGCCCCATCTCTAAAATACAGCCATATGGGTTGGGGTTAGGGTCCACCCATAAGACCTCGTTTGCCCTTCTCTCTTTAAAGGCCTTATCTCCAAATATAAGTCATGTTCTGAGGTACTGAAGATTGGGACTTCTACATCCGAACTTGGGGAAGACACAGTTCAGCCCCTAACACCATGGCTGAAGAAACCTCTGTATGTGATGCAGACCTGATCCTGACCCCAGAGCATCTTGTTGTCAAGGCAGAGTCGGTCTTCTCTTGATCGAGTCTTCTAGGCTGCAGATTTACAGTTAAATGTTGCACACTTGGTACTTGAAGAGCAACTAGTCTGAACATAGTTACTTCCCCATGAAACCATTCACACAGGTTGTGGAAAAGGTACATACAGACAAGGATTAGAAGAGCCGTGAAAAATGTACTTTTTTTTTTTTTTTTTTAGAGAAAGCATGCCAGTGGAGGAGAGGGGCAGAGGGAGGGAATGAGAATCGTCAGCAGGCTCCACACTCAGTGCAGAGCCCGATGTGGGACTTGATCCCATGACCTTGGGATTGTAACCTCAGCCGAAATCAAGAGTCAGCCATTCAACCAACAGAGCCACCCAAGCACCCCGAAAAATGTACTTATTTAGATAAAGGAGTAATTCTTTCATCTCACAATTTAACAAAAAAATTTTTAATGTTTATTTTTGAGCGAAAGAGAGTGGGAGAGAGGCAGAGAGAGAGGGAGACACAGAATTGGAAGCAGGCTCCAGTCTCTGAGCTGTCAGCACAGAGCCCAACGCAGGGCTTGACCTCACCAGCGGTGAGATCATGACCTGAGCCAAAGTCAGACGCTTAACCGACTGAGCCACCCAGGCGCCCCTTTTGTCTAACAATTTAAATATTAGTTCTAAAGGTTAAGCTAAAAAATAAAAAGAGGAGAAGGGGAGTGTCTGGAAAGAAGTAGTCATTCTAGTAGGTGTGCTAAAATACAGAGCCGCAGGAGAGGGATCTGGTGGCCCATTCAGGATTCAGACCTTGGGTTTGAAGCCGAAGTGTGCGAGTCCCACTGAACGTTAGCCCTTCTAGAACTCCCTCTTTCTGGAGTCAGCAGTCGTACTACATCTGGGAGACTCTAAAGACGATGGTCCCGGGAGACAATAGTGGTTTCTTTCCCTCTAATCCATTCCACTTCCTCCCCAAAAGGAGAAGGGAAGATAATAGCAACTTCACAGCCTGTAAATCTTAGTCCCAAAAGTCAGTTCTCGTCTTAGAATTCCATAGAAACAATAAAAAGATCTTTGCCAAAGGCAAGAATATAGGTGGAGTGATGTGGCAGGACCGATACTTGACGGGGAAGGAAAGTGTTTTCAAGGTGCTCTCCCCTCCTTTCCATAACCCACGTCAGGGACGGCCCGGGCTCTGGTTTCCCACATTTCCCTCAAGACCAGTTTAGCTTCTGGCAGGAGAAGTCAGACCCTCCTAGCAAATCCTGCTCTTGCTCTTGCCTTTTTTTTTTTTCACTATTTGAAGTGGCCTTTGCGTGACCGGCCCCAGCTCACGTCACACGGACACATTGGATCTGGACAGCTTTTGGATCTTGCCCTTGTGTGAAGGCTTACAAAATATGGTTATGCCCATCTGTCGGTCTGTTAAACTGCCCAAAATGGAATGTCCTCTACTTCCCTTGTGGTTAAACACATCGTTCCAGTAAAACCAGTTCTGATCCCACTTGGTCTTAAAACAACAAGAACACCTTTCCCTGCTAACCCCGCCTGAAAAGATTTCACAGTGTCTCCACCACTCAGTAGTTAAGCTGGCATTGCTTTGTAAGACTCTTTTATTGTCCCCTCGAATAGTCATCTAAAGCTTACATAGTCAATAAAATTTTCACGACTTAATCTCCTGTATTTTATCTACCCAAGTTCAAGGTCAAGAACAGCTCCACAGCTCTCCCCTTTCTCTCCTAAATCATCAATTTATGCTCTTCAGTGGATCATTCCTGACAGCGTGATCATTCCCGACAGATTACTGTGATCTTTCTCCTCTTAAAGAATGCTTTTGACCTTACTTCCCACTCCAGCTATCTCCAGATCTCCTAAGGGACCAACCTGTTTGCACGGTCTCCCTTTCCTTCCTCCTATTCTGCATCAGATCTATTCCAGTCAGATTCACACACGCGTGTGCGCACGCACACACTCACACACACACGCCCCTCCCCCTTAACTACTCTTTTTTTCAGGACACCAGGGACTGCCACATTGCTAACCCCAATGGTTAATTATCGCCGTTTCTTTCTAGGACAGCACATTCTTGCGGTTTCCTTCCTCCCTCTCTGTCTGTGCGTCCCCATCTCCTCAACCTGTTTATCTTGGAGCGTCTCCAAGTCCAGCCCTTGGGCCTCTGTGTTCTTTCCACACGCACTGACTCACGGATATTCTAGGCTCATGGCTTTAAATAACGTCGTAATGCTGTGAAGCGGTCCCACATTTACGTTTCCACCTTGGCCCTCTCCCCAGCTCCTAAATCCATGTGTCCACCTGCCTGCTTGACATCTCCATTGGAATAGTGAACTGGCATCTTTATTTTTTTTTTTAAATATTTTTATTTATTTCTAGGAGAGAGAGAGACAGCATGAGCAGGGGAGGGTCAGAGAGAGAGGGAGTCACAGACTGAAACAGGCTCCAGGCTCCGAGCTGGCAGTCAGCACAGAGCCCGACGCGGGGCTCGAACCCACGAACCGCGAGATCATGACCTAAGCGAAAGTCGGACGCTTAACCAACTAAGCCACCCAGGCGCCCCAGAACTGGCATCTTTATTAACAAGCCTCCAAACCGGTTCCTCTTGCACACTTCCCTGTCTTCCCCTGCTCACACCTAGAGCCTTGGAATAGTGCCCCCTTGACTGTGTTCTTTCTCTCGTACTTCACATCGGCAACTCCTCTGGCCTTGCCATCAGAATACATCTGGAGCGAGGGGGTGGGTGGGGGAGCACGTGGGTGGCTTAGTCGGTTAAGTGTCCGACTCTCGGTTTCGGCTCAGGTCATGATGTCACGGTTTGCGAGTTCGAGCCCCGCGTTGGGCTCCATGTGTACAGCGGGGCCTGCCTGGGATTCTCTCTCTCTCTCCCTCTCTGTCTCTCTCTCTGCCCCTCTTCTGCTCTCTCTGTCTCTCAAAATAAATCAACTTTAAAAATTTAAAGAAAAAAAAATACATCTGGTGAGTGACCTCTACAAGCTTGCCTACTGCTGCTACCCTGACCCGACACTCTTCTGTCTCTCGGCCAGGTTGCTCTAGTGGCCCCTGTACTGGGTGCCCTTCTATAGCCTGCACCCTGCTTCACTTTTTTTTTTCTTAGTACATCAGCCAGTAATCCTTTTAAGTGTGTCAGATCATGTCTTGCCTCTGCTTACCTTCCAGTGACTTCCACACTCAGAGTAAAAGCCACCATCCTTATGGGGGCCTTCAAGGCCCTTGGTGGTCTCCGCCTACCCCATTAGCTCTCTGCTCCCCCTCCTAC